CGGGGAAGTTCCACATTTGATGAAGCATTTCTGTTAACTATTTTGTATCCACCAATGTAGCTAACATTTTAATATTGTTAGATCAGCAAATGCCTGGGCAGCCTACGTTGGGAAATGGGGAACCAGAATTAAGGAGATACAGTTTTAGCGAGACTATATAGTGCTTTAAAATTTTCGAGACTGTGTTACATCAGATCTCGTGGTTGATATAAACAATTGTTCTCCACATCTTTGTCGTGGGCCGACCGGGTCAAAATGAAATTTTAGTGCTATTCATTCTTTAATTTTTTGATTCATATTAGGTGTTTGCCGGGAGAATTACGCACCCAATCAGAAATTCTCCAATGTAATGCATTATTTAAGCACCTTTATCGGCGCCACAATCACAAAAGTCGTAATGTGTGTCAAAGTGAGACATAAGTGTTTGAATAACAACCAAAGCTTCTTTTTCAAATGAAGACCTTGTCTGCAACCAAAGCTCTCAAAATCTAAATCGCCTTAGGCCATCTTGATATTTGAATGCCACGACATCAGAGTAAGCTAACGAACACTGAGAAATCAGGAACATTTGTGTTCAACCCAACTTTAATCCACACTTTGCAACGGGAGTTTAAAAAGCGCTCGACTTTGTTTAGCAGGAGATTTTAGGAAGTTTAAATGTATCGTTATTCGGTGCAACCGTTTGAAATGGTGGAACCGACAGAATTGTTTAGCGCGTTAAATTGGCTTCATCAAGTACACCACATTATTCTAAACTGCTTGAAGACTAATCGATGTGAAACTAGGATCGATTATTGCATGAAATCTGACTCGTGAAAGGCTTCATTGTAAAATGGAGAGGTTTAATACTGTGATCACATAACATAAAGTAAGGCATTTTGTGCGCACCAGAACTGTTGATTCGTGAGGTTGGTTGTTTGTCAGCAAGTCTCAAGTCTTAAAGCATTCATCAACTAAATCGAGGGTCTGTTACTCTGCATACTGAATCTTGAAAAACTCAGTGAGATTGTTGCAAGGCGATAGGTGTCCTCACCTTACTGGGTTCTGCGTTTTGGCAATTAGAGCTGAATTACAGTCAAGGGAATCCTGTATCATGTGGGTTTTTCAAACTATGCTAGTCGACATTCAGGAAAGCGATGCGCGTTGTTGAGAAATGCGGTAATGTCAAGTGATTGCGAGGTTTTTCATTAACTAATATGTCCCAAATAAAAATTTCACAGTTACCATGACAGCTTTTCTATCAAAGTACAGCTAATCTTAAGACAATTCTACACTTTGAAACAGCCGAATCGGTGATATTGCTGTACCTAGCGAAACGTACCCATCTCAAGTCAATTGGGGAAACTAACAGGCTATATTTCATCCGATCCATGAATTTAATTTTACGTAGCCCTTATTTGTTTGCTATGTAGTTATTCGATCAATATTTTCTTTCGGCACACGCACGCATGTTTTATCGCACCAATTGCATCAAACTGAGAGTCGCATTCATTCCACAACCAGATGGCTTAAAGAAACAACCGGTCGTTATTTGTGAGGAATGATTATTAATGAAGTGCAGACTGTTATGCAAAATGTCCGTAATATTCATCATGCTCCTTTAAAGTACACTGGTAACGTCTAGAATTCTTACGGCTTTCAAGCTTTTGCATAAAATATATTGCTTCTGCGAACCTCAAAAGTAGTTGTGAGTGACTCTGCGTAATTTCGAGGATTTCGTACCATCTATTGTTTTGCTTGTGTTGAGGGTTCGTTGTGTCTTGCTCATCAGCTGCTCAAAGTAACTAGATGTTCGCGTTCATAAAGAGATCGGACCGTAACATTTTATGACGGTTTGCGCATGTCATCCACCCACGGATCTACACCGGGTTTTCCCCGCATATCGCACGGAGTCTCTCACATTGGAATGGTTGATGTTTTGAGGTCTGATAAACAAACTTACCTAGTCCTGCAGGTTAAATGTTCAAGCATGTAGCAACTTCTTTCGTCGTAATGCCAATACATTTGCACTTATGCCCTGCAGAAGTCTAGGTGTACTCATCATGAGAGAATTCCAGCGGAAGCGGGATTACGATACCTGGGCTCCAGAAAATATCATGCCGCAACAGCCGACGCGCGGTCCGGTCAGCCAGGTGGCCTAGATTGCTGCATACGAGGGGACTGGATAATGAAAACAGGCCATCGCTTACGCATTCACCGTTTATCTTTCACTTGCTATTCTATACCCGTTTACCCACCTCATTATTAACTTCCATTATGAAGCTAATCTGTTAGAACTGATAACTCCGCATCCGTTTTCCGAGCAAAATTAGCTCGTCAGTTGGCAGCGGCGTTGATGAGTATCTTTCCGGAAATCTAAATGCAAAAGTCGGCAAGCCGAAAATATCTGAGGCTCAATCAGTTGGTCAACATGGATTGGACTCGGTCCTTACCCTCTGTAGTGATGTTGAACGCAGGATATTTTTATGAAGCTTT